AAAAAGAAGGAGAGAGAGAGAGAGCTTGTTGGCATCGCGTCGCGTTTATCGATATTTTAGTTGTAAACAAGTTTGTTGATACCGACAGGTTCTTTTCTTTAAATACGTTATTCCAAGCTTAGAATGTCGTTACTCCAAGCACAAGATTTTGTATTGAATTTGATTTGTTGCACCGATTAGTATTCCTTCTCATTCCCGAGATTTAACACTGATACAGTAGAAGAGGACGATCATCTCGGCGATTTTCTTTATTCTGCAAGAATACTGACAACATATATCGAGTAAGGAAAGGAGAGTATATCCATATCTATTCCATTATTTTCATTCAATTCTTTGATTCCAGGGTAATGTGACCTTTGATATATGTATTCAAAACGAGATGTGAAGGCATGGAGATTATCACAAGTATTGCAAAAGCTAATTGAAAGTTCAGGTAAGAGAATGCAAACCGATAACACATTATTTTTTGATTGCAATTTTTGCAAGAGAAGGATGTACTTTCTTTGCACTTGACAAATAATGCAGAAGTTTCGCTGTTGGCTGACCTAACTCGGGATAGCCGCACGAGTGAGCTGGGCGAAAGTGCAATGTCAATGGATATTTTCATGAAGATCGAAAAAAGGTCAAAAAAAAAAATCAATCTTCTTTCTCGACTTTTTGCTTTCCTTTTAAATGAAATTCATTATATTCAACAGCTGACAGTCCTTTTAAAATATTACCTTACTTATTTAAGTGATGTCTAGGTGGAGATACTTCTGTGACATTCTTTTGTCTTATTTGATTATACGGCAAAGATCTTAGTTAATTCATGATGGTTGAATTATTTGGTTAGTGACAACAACTGCACAATATAGGTGCAGAGCAGAATTTGCAAAAATTATGAAATATATCTTAATGTTTCAAGTAACACTAAATGACTGGCATGAAAGATATACCAATTAAGCAGAAAATTTAGAACAGCTGTCACTTCCCACTTGAAGTTATAAAATAAATCTTTCAAAAATTATTCAGAATATCGATGATGTTTATTTTTAGAGTGTTATTCATCTGATGGAACAATTGTGTAATGGCGAATCATCTAAAAGTTTTTGCACGTCGATAACTTGAACATTTCCATTTGACTTCTTTAACATCTCACTTTTGAGATATGGAAGTATTTTTTAGTTCATGGATTTTTCTCTCTCTCTCTCTTTCTCTCTCTCTAAATTTGTCTTTTTTGAGAAAATTATTGACAATAAGGAAAATTTTGTTAACCGACAAAGTATTATATTGGCACATTAAACACTAATGAATATGTATATCACAATTTTAGGGATGTTAAATTGGCCTAAAAACGAGTAGGTCTCTTTTTTTGAAGTTTGATGTTTGCAGGATTCTTTTTTTTAATAATTAAAATGTTATTTTAATATTGCTCTAATTGTATTGTGTTGGTGCTTCTTTAATATTATACCTCCATTAATGGATCTTTTGAATATATTTAATTATTTGCATTCGCATGCTTAGCCGATTCAGCCAACATCTACCTCAATTTCTGGATTACATTGTCATCCAGAATGTACAGAAATATACCTCCCATTGTATTTTGTATTCTCATCAATACTTTCATTCTTTCTAATATTTTGAGAATTTTTGCCTTTAATTTTCATTTTCCTATTGGAATTCTATATTTGCTAGTGAACTCTTAGTGATATATTGATAAGAGATTGATTAGCTTTGATAAAAATTGATTATATTATTGAATGCATGAAAGAGATAGCTGGAAATTTAGTTATTCGCAAATCATCCTCTCTTAGGCGGTGATAATTTTTATTGTGATAGCTGATTATTATGATGTGAAGAAGAGTAGACAGAATTGATTTCGATACAATCAATTATTTTGAACTCATTAAAGGATTTTCTTTGGCATCCAGCTCTTCTAAAATTTCTTAGGAAATTGTTAAATTAGATAGCTGGGAAGAATGAATTATATTTCATATGATCAGGTTTGTTTCCAGGCCTTTGGAGTCTCAGCAATGATACTTATAATAAGGGGACCATTTCTATAAAAGTAAAATGACCGCAATTTTAGAAGCATATACTTGCTTCTACTTTCACGTAATAGAGAGACATGTTGAATGGGTGGAAAATAGAAGGCTATTGTGGGAGGATTCATCATAACTAAATCCAGGTTAGTTTTATTATTTTGTTGAACATTGTCGTCGTTTCGTGGGGTATTCACATCTACTCAAAGAGTGCCAGCAGCTTTCATTGCCATCCGTACAGCCTTGCTAGCAGGTCGAAATATCTGAAATGTTAGATGATGATTACTGGAGCTTCAGGAAAGAAGGTTGAATTTACTGCGCTTTTCCATATATCAATCTGAGAAGTGGCATTTGTATACCTGGAAAGAGCAGTTCATATCTTCAGAAATAGACATCGTTCCACCTGCATTGTCGAATTGTCCACAGTAATGTGGTGCTGAGAAAATGGTAACAAGGCGTCGATTAGCAAAGAATTCATATCCATCCTGTACTACTTGATGAGCTCGTGCAATTAGATCTAAGTCTAACTTCTGGCACATCTCCACAACAACATCCTGTCCAAATGTATATGATGCACCACGAGTATTCGCTTGCCAACCTTTTACCCATTGATCGGGATCAGACCTGTAAATATCAAAAATTCAACTCTATACTAACATATAGCATCATTCAATATTATAATAAACAATCTTTAATAATCACCAAAGTAGATCGATTTCCATAGATGGATTAGGTGGATCAATTGGTCGTGGTAAGCTACGCAATTGATCTAAATTATTCAAATGTGGTGATAAGCCACCATGCATACATAGAATTCGTCCACCAATATAACCACAAAGTGGCATCCAATTGAATGTATCCTATAAATGAACAATTTATCAATGTATTATAGAAATTGATGATAATTTTGTTTTGTTTTTCTACAGTAAAATTAATTCAATTACCTGGAAAGCATTCCATAAACGAGTGGAATGGTATCTGCGATTGCATTCTTCAAAGAAGCCATAAACACGATTAATTGCTGGTGTCTCGTGATTTCCTATAATCATTTAATTTGATAGCTATTCTTGACTGAAATTATATTTATCATATCATTAATTCCACTAATGATTTAGAAAATAAGTAAATTTTCAAGTATCATCCATATCATCAATTGTCTCTAACTAAAAGTCTCTTATTTAATTATATCTTTTATTAGAAAAATTTAATTTAAATGATAAAGATAATTTAAGGAAATATACCTCGAAGCATGAAGAAATTTTCAGGATATTTGATTTTATAGCAAAATTGAAGACATATTGTTTCGATGTTCTGTTTTCCACGATCGACAAAATCGCCCAAGAAAAGATAATTAGCCTCGGGTGGAAAACCATGTCTATCATAAATGCGGAGCAAATCCGAATACTATAAATACTATAGCTACAAATGCTATATTTCAAATTTAGCGATGCCAAAATAATCGTTTTGAAAATGATGAAATTTAGCTAAATCGAATTTGGTGAAAAGATTGTTGATTTGTAAAATATCACTAATTTTTTTTTTATATTCTTCTAATCTGTAATAATTCATTAAAATTATAAATTGAATTGAGAGATAATTTATTACTTGGCCATGGATATCACCACAAACAACGAGTGGTGGATCAACTTCAATCAGGCTACTTTGGCTTATAAATATTTCTTTTGCTTTTTGACATACTCGATGAAGCTCTTCTTCAGCAACCTATAATTCAATAATCCTTTTGAATCTTTCTCCAAATCATCGTTTATTTGAAAATTATTAATGCAACTCAGTTTTCAACTTTGTGGTATCATTAATTTTGGATCATTGTTCTATCACATAGTGTCATCATTTCTTTTATACAAATTTCTTCCGGCTTATATTTCTGTGACATTTTTTTAAGCTTCATGAAATGAATCTTGGATATTCATAGTAATTGTTATATATATATATATATATATATCAAAAGTAGTATATCAAATTCAAATGTAATGAATTGCATTGAAATTTAAATTTCAATCCATCGAATATCGGAGAAATATTCTATCCCATATCTCTTTCTTTCCAATCAATTCAGATCAATTTAGAAAATGAAATTTAGTTGACTAGGTAGATAAACTCTGCCTGAGTTGTTAATCGTCCACCAGCCATACCCACATTTAACAAACGACTAATCATATTGTCAACATCAAATACCGCCATTTTTTGTCACTTAATTAATTGTCGTCCTCTTCGCTAAAATTATCCTTTTTGCAACTTTCTTTTTTCCTTTTTTTTGATGACAACAAAATTAAATTAAATTGAAGATTTTTTACTATATTTGATACATAGATTTATATTCCGCTGGCATTAAGGAAAGCTGGATATGAAGACGATGAAAGATTAAAATAGATAAGATAGCTAATAAGTGAGAATCCTAATAACATTCATTTCTCAAATTGCTTATTGATTAATTTATTGCTTAAAGAGTTGTTTAAATTTATTATAAAATAATAAATTCATTTGGAAATTTCAACAAATTAAATTCGAATTGAAATAAATCAGGTTAGCAGAAAAAAAAGGATAAAATTTTTAAATGATACGATCATATCGTTTCTTCTGTGATCTTATCATCAAATACACTAACCTGTCGCAACAAATAAGCAGTTAAAAATGAGACAACCGCTTACAGCTACCACTGTAAGCCAATTATTTCTTTACTGAGCTGATCAAACAATGAGGATAAATGTATCATTCCAGCTTCTATATAGCAAATTAATCTTTCTGATCTGTATAATGCGCAATTATTCTAATGAATAATTAAGCCAAAATAATCCTTTCAAATTATTCATGCTAATTTTTCACTTTATACATTTCATTCGTTTGAAAATGCATTGAAATTTTGATGTGATCAAAATGATTTCTATATTACAAAAATTTATCACAGATTGTTTTTAAATTGATAAAGATATGAATGATTCAATTAAAATGTATAATATTCTATTGAAATGTATCACTATTAGCACTACGAACAGCTTCTTCTACAGATGGATAAAAGGAAGTTTTCGGTACTGAACAATAGAAATCGATACGCTCCAATGTGTCTAATATTGTTTCTGCAATAAAAATAACCTTCAAAATATTTGTGTTAATTAAAATAAATTTTCAATTTCTAATCATAGCTAATTTGGAGTTGATTTAGAATCTATCCAATGTTAATCAATTCGGACTTTAATTAACAAAATGAATGATAATATTAAAAGTTAATGATAGGGAGTTTGAATATGTGCTTAGAAGAGAAAATAATAATAGCAACTTATCAATGGATCGATCGTTCATACAGCTCCATTATTTTGCAAATTATTATCGTAAGCTTATTTTCATAATCTCATAAATCGATTGTTTAATTTAATATATTGAAGAGAGTATATTATTTTGATAAATTCTTAACTGACTTTGATATTTTACAAAGAGAAAAATTTGAACCTGATATATTCGCGAACAGAACTGTTTTATTCATTTCTCTTCCTTGTAAATATATCTTTAAAAAAGTAAGTTGAAATATTATGCTTAATTTCAAAACTTATGAGTACAATTAACTTAGCATTTAATTTTCACAGTATATTTTAGATAGAGATAAAAGAAATAGTTAATATTTGATTAAATAAAAATGTAACAATTTGATTTGACAGTGATCACAAAAATTTGATATAACAAATATATTTTATTTTAGTATGATAAAATAGTAAATTTTAAGTGGAAAAATATTTATACTATAAACCTCTTTGATAGCTTCAATACCCATTGTATCGATATTTGATATGGCTCCACAATCAATGATAAGAATTGTTGGAGAAACAATTTCACACCATGATTGTTGTTGATTACTATTATTCGTCATTATCACTTCTTTTTGCAATAATTCTTCGTAATTTGGTTCTGTTATTGTCTTAGAAGTTGTTATTTTTTCATCCTGAAATTTTTTAATTAATTAAAAAAAGGATAAATGAGATGGTGATGTTTTCATCAGATGAAATGTAAAAGTTCAAACGTGTCATATTTTAACGTCAGAGATGAGAAATTTTGATAATGCAAAATTGATGGAAGATGATAAGATGATATTATCTTTTAAGGTGGAAGATGATAAAATGATACAATCCAGAAAAAATTGCTATCAAGTTGAAAAAGTGATTTGAACATGTGTTCCTTTCACGTACGAGAAAGAAAGCACACATATTGTGGCAAATTATTATTTGTGAAAAAATTTATAAAATAAAATCAATCAATATAAAACATTAGATAAGATGCTTTATTAATTATACAAGATTATGCATTAGCTTTTTTCATTTGCAAATGCACTAAATGAATGCTAATGCATGTCTTAGATTGCAAATAGCATGCTTGCATGCTAATTTCATCATATATATTAAACTATTCATATACTATTCCATCATAAATTAGATCAAAAAGACTAACATTTTTTATACTTTGCAATTTACAATTTTCACTTGCATCAGCTCGTAAAATATCGCTTATTTTATCACAAAAAGTTGAAACAGTAACAAAATTGAGAGGTGCTTCGAAACGAATAATTTTAGCATTTTCATTTGCTAATTTTAATCCATGATAATAAACCAAAGGTTTGTAGATTTCACGATGTGCTGTCCTACCCATTATGAATATATTAGGCCTGAAAAATCAAACGATTTGATTATACGTAATTTAAATGCATATCATTTACTAAACTTCACTGTAAAATAAATGAAACGACAAACCGTTGCTCTCTAAGAGCCACAGAGAAGAGTGTAAAAAAGACTGATATCATAAGGCCGGTCATTACATCGAACGACATCGTCGCTACGCAACTCACCAACCATACTGCCTAAATAGTAAGCAATTGGCTAATTCATTAGCAAAACTGATCTTTTCCTAATAAAGTAATACTTAATAAAAAAAAGAAAGAGAATGTAATAAATACTAACGAAATCAAATTTTGAAATTCGCCACAACTTTGACAATTCAGCGAATTGCATAAATAGACTTTTCAAACTTACAATTACAATGCAAGCAAGCACACACTGAAATTTAATTCAAACTATTAAATTAACTGTTACAATTAATTACAATTAATTAATCGATATGTTGGGAATTTCAGCTGATCAATGACGATTTAACTAACAGTTCAGCTCATATCCGACGATGATATGACGGCGATGATGAAAGAAGGATGATGCTAAGTGGGATCATAAATTGGATACATTTGATTATTTTGATATCTTATCGATTCATAAGAGGATAAGAAGGAAAGAAATTTTGGAAAAAAGAAAGATATCGTAATAAAAATCGAACCATTGGAAGAGATTCAAGAAGTGGTCCAGTAAAAGCAATAACAATTAACAATAATGCACTTGAGAATAAAATATTCAACTGAAACAATTTGTAACATTAAGAATGGAAGGATAAAGTTATATTGAAAATATTGAAGGAATGAAAAATGACCTGAGTATTAGCGCCAGATTGTTCGCATACAGCTGATCGTGAAAGTGAACAACCGGCAGGAAAAACCGGGAAAAAAGATGATAATGTATGCATTAAGCCAACAGCATATAATTCCTACAATATCAATAATATTGAAATGATTGGAAAAAATTCGATCAAAAAAGATGAAATTAAAAAACATTTGATGATCTATCATATCACGCATCTTATTTTCAACAATATTTTTCTTTTCAAATCTTCAACATATCAATTTAAATTAATTTTACATAATGGAATGATTATGATAAAAGACCGATCATCTATTCCATTATAAGCTATATTTTAAATTATTAAATATACACCTGTGTAGGATCAATCTCATAGTGTCTCTTCTTTGCAAATAATTTAGCCATTGATATAACAAACATATATGAAATAATTGCTATTGCAAAGGCATCATTTAAAAGATATGGTATTAGGTCAAAGTTCGGTAATGATGGTATAGGAACTCTATAAAAATTTTAAAAAAATATCAGATTGTTATCTTTTGTGATAAACATTCGTTTAGTTCGCAAAAGTCAATTTTTTCAATGAAATGAACACATATATCATACCAGATAGACTCGATCATTCTTAGATTTTCTTCAGCAAGAATGAAAAAGCAGAAAAGTTTTAGTTTAATAAATCAAAGTTTCACTAAATATATACCCTTGTGGAATATAATCAACAATTTTTACATCATAATTGTTTTTCAGATCCATAAATACCGAAAATATCGTTATCAAAATAACCTGAAAATATAGAACTAGCCATAGAAGTGTTTAAGACAATTGGCACATTGTTATATCGTTAGTGACACAAGCGCCGAGCATTCAATTCCTTCTGAGTAATTTTCTAAACATAGGATAATTTACGACTAAAGTTATAGTAGGATCAGATTTTTGAATAGTTAAAAATTTTTTGAGCAAAACAACATTTTACAACGTTTACTAAAATGAGCTCAATAGGCAGTGGTACAGGTGATCGTTTTTTAAACCACGGATTTATATAGTCACGACCAATAGATAAAAACATAATGGACGATATTGATATCCCCAAAGTCCAGTAATTGGTATGTGGTAAAGCCAATATCAGATCACGCATCATCTATAATTATCAGTTTCTGAATATATTTTAATGATTAACAAATCAAAACAAAAATGGAGCCAATGAGAAACAAAGAAAAATGGAAGTAGGAAAGTTTTTTTTAAAATATCATTCACTATACAAAAGGATATTATGGGAAGTGATAAGGAATATCACTAATATCAGTACTAGTTCTCATCTTTATCAGTTGCTGTGTTGTAAGCCTAATCGATTTAATCACCTCAACTAAACAAAGTTGGAAATTTCAGCAATTTAATGAAAAAAAAAGATGACAATGGATGATTTTAAGGCTTACATAGAATAGCATGCCGAAACCGGAATAACGCGATAACTTAACACCGATAATTTTATTGAGTTGTGCCGTGAAAACATGAAATGCTGATCCAGTTGTGAAACCGGAAATAAGAGCATCCGACATATAATTTGTAAAGAATGCTATACCCATCATTGCCATCACCAACTGAAAACTTGCTATCATTTATTAAGTATAAATTCCAAAATTGCTATATTTCAGAAGGCGCAACTAACATCGCTCCTAAAGCATTCATTTAATATGAGCCATTGATTTCTGATAAGATAAATCATATACATACTATTACAATTAGTTAAATCTTGAATGAGAAACATTTCTTCTACATCTCAATTCCTATCTTAAAATTTTACTGTTAATAAATTCGAACTTTTCATTTTCAACCATTTTTTTGTTCAATCTAATTTAAAATTAAAAAGCAAAAAAATTAGCCATTAGTATTTGAATATTTTCAAGAAATTAACTTTATGAAATTAGAATTTCAACAAATTACACCGTTATCGATGAATATTTATTTCCTTGTTTGAATATAACTAATACAGTTTTATGTGATGGATTGTTGTAAGTGAAACTATTCGATGGAGGTATAATATCCGCTAGAGATTGTCTGTCATTAGTCACTATTTGAAGATGTATAAGTTAATCTATAAGCCAACGAGATACTACAGGAAAGAAGGAAGAGCCTCTTTCTCTTTCTGATTTCATTCTTTAACTCCGTACCTTAATGCCGCCTGAGGGAGTGATATAGCACTCAGAAATCTCTAGTACCAAATCTTCTAACTCTCCAACTAGTGGACAATTTATCCCAAATGATCACCTCAATGAGTCACATGACCTCAATGATTTCGATCATTTAGTTATCCTATTTAATCGGTTTAATAGTTGGACAATCACTGGTCAGCTACTAATTAATTGATTTCGTCGATTCACTAATTGCTTACTTGAAACAATCCAACAGTCATAGCAAGCGTACTTGTAAGCATAATTGGAGATACTTTATAACCAAAATCAATCGGACCTGCTACTGCTTTTACAATTTCTGTACTAGTACCATTTACCATCTCAAAGATCACATCTGGATCCGGTATAAAACGTAATCGCACTGCTCCTACCATCAAGCTTGCCACGGCAAAAACACCTATAAAACTTTTTTCATTCAAAAACAAACTTATCATAAATGAGAATTATGATATATTGGAAAAAGTTAAAACTGACAACTTGGCTGAAAGGATTATGTTTGCGGAAAAATACGCCACAATGGTAAAGAAAGAATTAACTTCTGAAGAACTTAACAATGCTTGTAGTGAAGTTTGCTATCTATCATCTTATTTTTCATTTTCAAAATTACACATTTCTTCACTTATAAGAACGAATAAATGGATTAGATCATTAAAGAATTAATAATACCAATTATTCATTTGAAAATAGTTTTAAAGAACTTCAAATCATCTTTCATTTTTAGTCCTTCACAACCCATAACAACCCCTATATTAATTTCGGGACATTTTCGACTATGAAATTTATATCGATATTCCGATATTTTCCTAATGTTCTTCTGATGAAATATAGCAGCAATTTGAATGATGGAATGATAGAAGTAGGTAGGAATGATAGTTATATCATATACCGATAGAAATATGTCGTGATGTTCCAAAAAATGCATAAAAAGTTGAAGTGAAAAATGACGTATACATCCCATAAACTGGTGGAAGACTAGCCAAATTTGCATATGCCATTCCTAAATATCCTCAAATTTATCAATCTATTAAAGTTATTACTTTTAGTAAGGTTATCAAATCTTATCATTAAATGTAGGATAAAATGATCAAAATTACCTAACAAATTATAGGAAAAATACAATTGATAATTTATTAAAGAATTAAACTAAGAGCAAATAGAATTTGTTGAATGAAAGTTAAATCTAACCTTGAGGAACTTGCATGATACCAACAGTTAAGCCTCCGATAATATCGCCAGTTAGATCTCTTTTCCAGTTGTATTTTGGAAGCCAATAAAGTATGGGAAAGAATGATAACACTGATTTTAAGATATTCTTTGGTGATACTTTTAATTTCACCTTCTCGATATTGCATAATTTTTTCACTTCCGGTTGTTTACGTGAATATTTTAACTCAAATGTTTCCTAAAATAATAATTCCCAATGTTTGTTTTAATCTTCCTAATCTTCCATTTCCGCGCATTCTGCGGATTCAACAAAAAGATGAATAATCGAGTTTTTAGGTAAAAAAGGGTTTACTGTAAAAATTGATCTTTCACTTTCATCATTTTTTTTGATTCATTAATATGTTCTAATTATAATCCACTAAAATTTGTGACTGTGAATGGCGGAGAGCGGAATCTGATTATTATCATAGTAATTAAATTTTAATGGAGTAAGTTAATGACACACTAAGCACCGCAAAACAACTTAATTTGGACTCCACAAATATCGCGGTTAAAATTTACGCTTCTTTAACTGCTTGATGCAATGGTGAATATATTGTTCCAGTTGTGCAATCCGATTATTCATGCTAGAATTTTCCTGAAAATACTAGCATGAATAATCGGATGAGTATGGAGGGAAGAAAGTACCGGATGGACTAAAACAGCCTAATGTATGATTAGCACAAATTCTACAACACTGAACGCTATCAGCAATCTGCACTGCAAAATAACAATAGGATTGAAAAAATAAGCAATATGCGACATTCTTTGTATTTTGTTAAGACATCCTTCTTTCTTGGTTGTAGAGGAAATAATTGCTTTAGTGAAATTTCCTGGCGTCTAATTCATTTGTTCACTTTTGCGCCTAAGAAAGTTTGAAAATCAAATATGCGTGAAAAAGCAACATGAAAGAGATTGCCGCCGATTAGTGCAGGAATGCATTTTCAACATTTCATTCTTACCAATAATCGATCCAAGTTAAAGCTTTCTGTTTGTGAAAGTAGGCGCACACAAAAATGAATGTCAAATAGCAGAAGGCATAGTCGAAGCACTGAAATCTTCTTTACACAGGCCTCTACCATCATCTTCTCCTTACTAAATTAATACAAATCATCGCTGATGGAGTTAATCTTTTTCAAATGTATGACCCTGATTCGTAGCGAAAAGTTTTCCAACACCGTCAATACTTACGATTAATTAAAGCTAAAGCTATGGTTTGCAGACAATAGCGCACATTCCTATATTACATTAATTATTTCTTCAATTGCAAAATACTTTACAGATTTGGAAAATGAAATGAAAAGCTGCTATGTGGCTAAAGAAGGATGGTAAAGTATCAGCTGATTTATCAAGGCATATCACAGCATCTGCATTCAGTACGTAGCATATCATAATAGAAATGTGACAGAAATGAGTCAATGAAAGTTAATGGCTATCAAAGTTTTGATGCTTATAAAATGAATGCGAGTTAGCTTATAAGAACGAATATTTTGAGGTATGAGAAGACGACCATGGTTGAAAACTTGGAACCAATTCTGAGAGAAACATATTCCATAGAGAAAGATATGAAATACCTGATTCCAGTGACCAGAGAAGAATTTCTGCTCCATACTGGTGATAAGTTACTCATTGCATAAATGAGTTACTGATGATGATGACCCATTGTGACCTGCTCAACACAATAGAGCTCATTGCCCACCAAATGATTCATAGCAATCGAATTTCGGAGGGCAATCTAATTTATTCTCTCTCTCTCTCTTTCCTTCTCTTTTCGTGTGAATTAAACGAGAATGCAGAGAGCGCCTTTTCTATGAGAAATGGAAAAGTGGTTGTTGGAGAAGAATTAATGAAATAAAATGAAATACGCAGGGAGAGTATGTGACTAATTGTAGCTGTGATGTTTAATAATATGGCAGAACATCGAGCAATCGGCGCTGATCGGTTGAATGAGACTGTCTTATGATAAGGTACATGAAGGTAATTTTCATAGGTAAGTAAATTGTCACAAACCTGATTCATATTGATTTAATGCTTATTGCTGATAACTATAATGGATTGATAACAGCACTGGAAATGTTTCTTTCCAATTACTCGTCCTTCGTGTGCAAAACAGTTTCTCTATAATATTTTGATATTTGTAAATTTTATGATAATCCTACTAATATCATTCCCATTTCGAGAAGTAATTTTAGAGAATGAATATAAAATAGAATAATGATAAGCTTAAGCTTACAATCTAAAACAATGAAAAACTTCTCGCAGTAGGATCTAAATTCTTTAACAATATCGATGACAACAATATCAAATAACAACTTTGTCGGCAAATGGTTTATCGGAGAAGAAAAATTTAACGAAAGCAATTAAAATATTAGCAGCTATCGATGACAATAATATCCTTAAGAATTAGCATATGTCCAATGAAATAGACATATTAATTTCATTAGATATAATTGTATGATTTTATAGCTGGAAATAAAATAATACAAAATTTGAAAAATGGTGGAAGAGGTACCGTCCCATTCGTACTTAATAAATAACATATAAGAAATTGTTATGAGTTGCTTATTTCTCGTAATAATTATATGTTTCATTTGAAATAATTATACAGCCTAACTTCGCCAGTAATTTCTAGAGAAGTGAGAAATTTCAAAAATTTCTGGACAGCTGATTCATATCTTTTTTATCGGAAGTGTGATGAATTTTCAATCACAGTCCTACAGAAAAGCTCAACATGACTTCTTCAGCTCTCACATTTCTTCCTAATTTTGCTCTTTTTTGATGGAATTTAAGAAATGAATTTTTAAATGACAGCTTTTTAAACTCATTGATATGAATAGGAATATATGAAGGTTGTCTAATTTTCATTGAAAAAATTTAGCAAACTTTTTCCTACAGCAATTTATGATAATTAGCTGAAATGGATGAATTGAAAAGAAGACATATGCGCTCATGCTCTACTAAGACATATGCGCCCATTTCTGCTTTGTCAATTATTCAACAAAATGCGGCGTTATGATAATTAGCTGAAATGGATGAATTGAAAAGAGGACATATGCGCTCATTTCTGCTTTTTCAATTATTCAACAAATGCAATGCAATGAATGAATGCATTTTATCAAATCTAATATTGTTGAATCGATTTATCATAAACAAAGCCATTAACGATAATTATCAGTAAAAGTAATTATCATATTTGTTTTTAATATATTTCAGTAAATTCTCTCAACATAAATTAGCAGAAAAGAAAGAGAAAAAATTGGAGTAAGAATTCGATGAATGTTTTATTAAATGAAAAGATTGATCTTTGCCTTTATTCTAAGCTGTCACCATCACTCTGAAGAATTTGTGAAAGAGAATAAGAAATGAATAAGTAAGTTATCATTCAGCTATTTAGGCATCTTTATTCATTTGATTTATTATTATTTATGGAGTTATCTTGTGAGAGGAATTGTTGTCAATTAAAACTAGTGAAACATATGAATGAGATGTAATAATCATTCAACTACATTACATTTTATCAATTTTAATTAATTTCATAATGAGTTATTTATTAACTGATAATGATTATTATCATGTGTTATAATAATAGCCATTATCAGCTAATAAATAACTATCAGTTAACTAATAGCCATTATCAGTTAATAAATAAGTTAATAAATGACTGAATCTCAAAAAAGAAAAGGATAAACTGTAAGAATATTTGAATGATAGCGCTTTATCAATATAAGCATATATTATCATATCTTTTATATTATGTAATATGTTATCACAGCAAATGATATCATAATATTTATTTCTGTTTTTCTGTTTATGGAGTTATCTTGCTATCACATAATCTTTCATCATACTTTTAACTTATCGATCATCTATCTACTTTTTAAGTCAATTCTTCCTTCACTCGAATCTCAAACACAATCATTTCTAAACTGTCACCTCCATTTCATATAGTGATATATGTTATCAAATATCAAGAAGAATTCTTCATTGATAAATTTCCTGCTTATTTTATGATTCAAATATGCAATCAGTTTTTCTCTTTGCAAGAGCTCGATAAGATCCGGCAAAATTCCGATAATTACGTATCACGAATATTCGACGTACCGATAATTAGGCAACAAGAACGTAGAGCTTATTTACAAAAACGGAAATACATATTTTTATAATTATTTATTAAAAGCGCTATGTTTCTATAAATTCTTTTTTGATGTTCCTCAACTTAAATAAACTTTGATGACAGATTTTTACAGATAATTGTTTTCATTAAAAACTTTGCTAATAGCTTTAATATTTAATTTTATGGTTAATCTTTGGGTAATACTTTGAAAAGTTTGTTTAAGATACCAATTGCTAGAAATATTTGATAAATTTTGTTTACACTTTCCCATCGTTGTTTTGATGACAGATTGTAAATGAAATATGAAAAGTGATTTGTATATTAAGCAGTTTATTGATTTAAGCAAATAAAACATCACAGTGATCAATTTATAATTCAATTACAAAACAATTTCATCAATTACAATTAGCCTTTGTGAAATTTTTTTTTTTTTTAAAACAATTCAACTCAATCATTTTGTCACTTTTCAATTTAATTAACTAATTAATCATATCTATGATACAATCATATATGCCGCCTTTTGTATACCTAATAAATTGATATTATAATAATGATAATGATAATTACAGCAAATTTTTCAAAGTAGAGAATTTGAGAAAGTAAAAAAAAGGAATAAACCATTTCGTATCAATGAATTTTATCGGAAGCATTTGTTTTTATCATAATCAATGATAAAATCATTTTCACATCCGATCAATCTATCTATTAATTCAAAAACTTGTTATTTCTTTTTTTTTTTTTTATATCATTCCTACGATAGGTTCCATTTCAGCGATCATTAACTATTATCGTCTTAATTAATAGATCAACATTCCTTTTTTTTTTCTAGTAGAAAATACGAAAATTAGAAATTAAATTAAAATGAAAAAGAAATAGCATAAATTTCTTTTATATGATGTAAGCAAAAAGAGACCTGTTTTAAAAAATATTAATTAAATTGGAAATGATGGAATAGAAAAATAATTGAAATGCGGATGTTGTTGACAGCCGCATTTCTAATGAAATACCTTTCTCTTCTCTTCCGAGGATAGAGATAGGTAGGTGGTATATTTGGGATGTAAGCAATGGAAAATGTTGAATTTTTTTTTTTTTTTTTTGTTAAATTATAAATTTAACAGTGATATTGAACTTTTTCACTTTACAGGTTAATTAGTTAATAACTAATAATTTTGAGCAAGAAAAAAAAATTTTAATTAATATTAAATTTTAAATTATTAGCTTTATCTCTGATTGAAATTTAGCCAGTCTATTATTTTCTTCTATATCAATCTCAATATAATCATAATAATTATTAGCAATATGAAATTGAAAAACAATTAGTGGTAGGATTTTTAAGAGAAGAGTGATTAGAAGTATCCGATGAAGTTTGATAGTTAATATTTCTGGTGATGATGATTGATGATTGATGATTGATGACCTATTTCCATCATAGAAATATGATAATAATTTGTAATTGTTTTTTTTTTTGTTTGAAACAATTGCATTATATGTTATATTAATATCTTTTATGATCGTCTACGGATAGTGATGATGATGATGATGATGATAATGATGATGATAATGACTGATAACTACTCTTTAGATTGTTCAGTCATTCTCTAGCATTTACTCTTTGTAATAATGATAGAAGAAGAATGTTATGGATATGAAAATTCTCAATATCTATTAATTCATACAAATTAAAATTTATTCAAGATAAAACAATGATCTAATGGAATTTGGGTATGTATGTAGGCTTGCTATGTTTGTTTTGAATTGGGTAGATAACGAATTTTTAATTTGAAGGCTTCATTATTAACTATGAAATTAGCTGCATTTGTATGAAGCCATCGAATTGGTTCTTCTTTCAAACGATTATCAATTAGCTCCGGTAAATTCTGATTTTTACCCTTATTTGAGGGATGCTTGACAGGTACATCCTTTCGTACCTGTAAGAAAATAAATAAAAGAATTAAATAAACTTTCAACATACAACATATAAAGATCAGTGTGGATTCAGAGATACAAAAGTATGGATGATCGGAATATTTTGATGAAAATCCAATTAGCACAATTTAGGCAGTAATATTTTGACCGTTTGGTGTCAAAGGAATTTTTAAAAGATCGTGCAAAAATATAACTTCCATGTAATTACGCAACGACATCCAGTTGCTGCTTCATTATCATCGTAATGAGGTGAAGCCGTTGATAATAGTGAAACGATAGGAAGTGATGAAGAGTTATCAATCATAACTGATAGTCACTATTTCACATAATCACTAAAAAATAAATTACCTCAGCATAATACTGTACCCTTCCTGGATAATCATCATAACGATCACAAACATGTTTCACCAGTCCATTATATCCAGTTTGGCCAATTTTCAACAGAATCCAATGTTTCGTTTCATTTTGGTAATAACAACCTGAAATTAAATTCACGTTGTTATTCATTGATAAATTTTGAATATTTATGCAATTTATTATTACTGCAAATAAATTAACCTGTAATCCATCGACCAGTTTCCAAGCAAAGCCATTGAAAATAATCTTGCCGGAATAATTCACCTACATGATATTGTGTATCGTTTACTACACATCGAGGTTCTGAATCAATTGGTTAATTGTTCATAAGAATGAAGAAATTCGGGAATATTCGGGAATAAGAATATCTTAGAGGATATTCTTATAGATAAAATTATTATCTCAAATCTTTCGTATAAATTACATGCCTTACCTTCCTCATATTTAAACCTGAACGTATCGTAGCTACAACTAAACCAAAAATCATCAACAGTTTTATTATCACCAGCCTGAATTAACATTTTCCCGGATCGATCGCTACCTTGACAACCGAGAAATTCTGATTGAATACTGCAAATGATCAATTTATTTAGTATATTTTACAAGCAAATCAAATTCCTCAAATTATTTTAAAAGAATTGTAAGCATTATTCATTCACTATTCTACTCAATAATAAATAATAATAATAATTTAACAAAAAAAATTTTATATACCCATCCTTTCCATTACAATTATAGACCCAAGTATCATCATCAAGCCATTTCTCGCCATTTCTCCGACATCCACCGCTCCAATCGCGACAATCGCAATCATCTGTAGTATTCTTATCATATATAATGCATAATAATAATAATAA